ATAACACAGACTGAGCGGCTTATAAATGATCAAAATGTGTTGCTTACAGGTCTGGAGCCTGGAAGTCCAAGATCAGGGCACCAGCACAGTCAGGTGACGGCCCTCATCTAGACTGCAGACTTCTTGTGTCCTCATGTGGCAGGAGGGACAAGGGACACTAATCCCACTCATGAGGACCCCACTGTTAAGGCCTAATCATCTCCCAGAGGCCCCACCTTCTATTACCGTCACCTTTGGGGGCTAGGATTTCAACTTGGGAATTTTGGGGGCACACAAATACTCAGACCATAGCACCAAAAGGGATTGCTAAGCGGGAAAAATATAAATATACATCTAATGCCACAAAAAAGTGCTGTGAAACATACCATCTCAAAATGTAGTAGCTTTAACATGGATGTGGGTTGGATGATCTGGGCTGGGCTCAGCTGGGAAGCTCCATTTCACACTATTAAAAACAAGACAATAGGCCCCGGCCAGTGTGGCTCAGTTGGTTGGGCATCCTCCCGCAAACTGAAAGGTCTCGGGTTCAATTCCCGGTCAGGGCACGTACCTTGGTTGCAGGTTCAATCCCCCGTTGGGTTGCCTACAAAAGGCAACTGATCTATGTTTCTCTCTCACTTCAATGTTTCTCTTCCTCTCTTTCTCCCTCCCCCCTCCTCTCTCAAAAAAAAAAGAAAGAAAAAAGACAATAGACCCAAAATGGACTTATGCTAAGCCTCATGTCACTGAGACTTAACGACAGTTTTGGCTGTCTCCGGAATTGATTCTTAAACCAGTCGATCAGGAATCTTCTGATCAGCACTAGTTAAGTCATCTGCCTGACACTCCGGCTCTCTCTCTCTCTTTTTTTTCTCCTTTTTTTAATCCTCGCCTGAGTATATGTTTTTAATCAATTTGTGAGAGAGAGAAACCTCATCGTGAGAGAGAAACATCAATCGATTGCCTCCAGCACATGCTCCAACTGGGGATGTGGAGCCCACAAACTTTGGTGCAGGGACGACACGCCAACCAACTGAGCCACCCAGCCAGGACCTCTGGCCATTTTTTTTTTTTAATTTAAAAACAATGCCCTGACAGGTGTGGCTAAGTGGGTTGGGCATCATCGCGCACATGGAAAGGTCACTGGTTCGATTCCCTGTCAGGGCAGATGCCCGGGTTGCGTGGCAGGTCCCTGGTTGGAGGCATGCAAGAGGCAACTGATTGATGTTTCTCTCCCTCCCTTTTTCCCTCCCTTTCCCTTTCTCTAAAAATAAATAAATAAAAATCTTTTTAAAAATTTATTGATTTGAGAGAGGGAGGGGAAGAGGGAGAGAAAGAGAAACATTGATTTGTGGTTCCATTTATTTATGCATTCATTCGTTGATTCTTGTATGTGCCCTGACTGGGGAACAAACCCACAGCTTTGGTGTATCAGGACGACACTCCAACCCGCTGAGCTACCTGGCTGGGGCTCCTGCTGTCTTTTAAAGGAAAGTGACTTTGCAATAACCAGGCTGCTTGGCTATCTAGAATCACTTGCTCATTCCCACTTCCTTCTGCCTGTAAGTTTCTCATTTTGCACGGCTCCTCGGAGCTCCCTCCTTCTGCTAGATTGGATGCTGCCCGATTCGAACCTATGCTTGCTCAAATAAACTCATACAATTGTGAATATGCCTGTTTATCTTTTAACAACATGCAGACCATGTGGGGTGTGGGCTGAGATGAGAGCAGCCACATGGGGAAGTCTTTCTCAGGCCTTCGCACGGACACGGGAGGAAATGCTCAAAGCGCGGAGATGGACCGTCACTTGTGCCCCTCAGCCATTGTCCAGACGGAAGTCATATGACGTGCCCAAAGTCAAGGCGATCACTCAGTCTGCCTCTATGGGTGAGATATTTTTCATGTGTGCTTTTCTTAAATGCTTAAATGGGCACTCACGCTCTTACGTCCACACGCAAGTCATACCCATGGGATATCTCTGGAAGAATATTAGAAACCGGTAATATTTTTGCTTTTGGGAGGGGTGTCTGAGACTCAAAGGATAAAGGCTTTTCATTCTACAGTTTCTTGTTCCCTGTGATCATTTTTTTCTGGCAGTGTATTGCTTTGAAAATTAAAAGGACGGGTAACCCTGGCCCGTATGGCTCGGTTGGAGTGTCATCTCATATACCAAAAAGTCACGGGTTTGATTCCCAGTCAGGGCACCTACCCTGGTTGCGGGTTCAATCCCCAATCGATCTCTCTCTTTCCCCCTTCCTCTTTTCCTAAAAGCAATGAAAAAAAAAAGTTCTCCAATGAGGATAATAAAAGAGGGGGGAAGCTTTTAAAAAATTGTGGCCAAGAGGTGAAAATAGAAAAGCCTGCAACCTATCCACCCATTTTTATGACCAGGCAAACTAAGGCCTTAAGTGATAAGATAGGGTTTTATTGTGTGCCTTCTTGGCTGTGGTCTTGGGTGAGGGATTTCTCCTCTCTGAGCCTCAGTTTCTCCCTCTTTCTATGGGGCCAGTAATAGTGCTTACTTCAGGGGGTGGCTGTATGGATCCAGAGGCTTTGCTTCTCCTTGGCTGTGTAATCTTGGACAAATCACTTGACCTCTCTGTGCCTCCTCTTCCGTGGGGCACATAAATGGGGATAATCATAGCACCTCATTGGGGTGATGTGAGGATTAAGAGTTAACTCTGTACGAGAGTTTGCAGATGGGTAAGAACTCAAGACACCTCAGCCCTCGTTGTGCAAAAGCGCCAGGCACAGACAGGGCTGGCCTAAAGAAACTGTCAGTTGAGTTAACATTTCCTTCTTTCAGTCTTTGTTTCCTTTAATATTCACCACTCTGCTATAGAATAAGTGTGATTGTCCCAGTCTGTTTTTTTTTTAAGTTTTATTTATTTATTTTTAGAGAGGGGAAGGGAGGGAGAAAGAAAGGGAGAGAAACATCCATGTGTGGTTGCATCTCACACACCCCCAGCTGAGGACCTGGCCCACAGCCCAGGGATATGCCCTCCACTGGGAATTGAACTGGCGACCCTTTGGTTCACAGGTCAGTGCTCAGTCCACTGAGCCACACCAGCCAGGGCCTGATCCTCCCAATTTTAGAGATGAGGAAATAGGTGTCAGAAAGTCATCACTTGCCCCAGGTCGCATGGAAAGGAAATGGCAACAGAAGGATTGGAACTCAGATCTTACCTGGTCCCAATTCCCTCCCACAGGCCCCTCCCCGCACCCCCCCCCCCACAGTGTTCGCTGGGGTAGCCTGCACTAAACCTTTTAGGGGGATTACCCATTATCTCCAGGACAGTCTCCTGGAGCAGGTTACGCTCGTGAGTCCTGTGCAACACACTAGGAACCGGAGACCCAAAGAGGTGAGTTCCTGGCTCAGGGGCTACCCAGCCGGCAAATGAGGGAGCAGGGATCTGCACCTGGGCCACCTGGCTGCAGTCCCTGCACTGCCTCCTAGTAAGCATGTGGCAGATCCAGAACCAGCACCCTGCGTCCTGAGGCCAAAGGGGTTGGGGGTGGGGACTCAGCTGCCCCTATCTACCCTGTTCTCAGAGGTAATCAGGAGAATTTAGAGCGTGAGTTTGAATTTTATTTTCTATCGTTCAATCAACACCCTTTCTCCTGAGGGCCTTCTCTGTGTTCTGCCTGTTTTGGGTAGCACTGGGGACATAATAGTAAGTCCAGTGTGGGAGACAATGACCCACAGTGGACAGGGCTGGGATGTGGGAATACAGGAGGCTGCAGGAGTCCGGGAGCATCTCATGAAGCCTGTGTGTGTGTGTTGGGGCGGGGGGGTGGTCAGAGAAAGCTTCCCGTTATCAGGAGCATTTGCACTGGGCCTGGAGAACAGGTGCGGAACTGCGTGCAAGTCTGCGGTCTGGTCCATGGGAGAGTACCGCCCTCTGCTGAGTACATTTTGTAGTGCAGAGACTAAGGTACTGCAGCGGTTCGGAAAAGCTCGCCTTGAACCAAATTCTAAGATGCGAGAACCCGTGAGCCCAGTTTGGGCCAATTTACTTTTTTAGGATTTGATTCGGTTAGCCAGCCACTCAACAAATATTTATTGAGCACCTACTTTGCGCCAGCTCTGTTCTAGTTGCTAAAGATGTACTGACCATACAGAGAGCCCGGCACTCAGGAATGGGCATTCTAGGGGAGGGTGAACCAATAATAGAAGATACAATCAGATTAAAATATACGTAAAACAAACAGAGGGAAATTAGGACAACTGTAATAGAACAACAATAAAAAATAAAAAATATATGTAAAACAAAATAATAATAAAATACCATCAGTAGTTAATACTTGCTAAATGTTTCCTATCCATTTATTAACGCATTCAATCCTTATAGCCTTTGACTATCTCCATTTTACATATTAGGAAAACCAAGGCACAGAGAGGTTAAGCTACTTGTCCAAGGCCTGCCCAGTCAATAAGTGTTGAAATGAGATTTGAACACATTTTAGCCATTACATTACCTTGTCAATAATGTGATGTAACATAATAATGTGATTTATTACATTAAAAATTTTAGGCCCTGAAAATTTTGTGAACCAAATCAAAATGGGAAATGAGGTAGTGTTTTGGTGGGAGGGTGTCATTCGGAAGGGGCAGTCAGGGAAGGCCTCTCGGAGGAAGCAGACTTTGAGAAGACACCAGACAAATGGTGAGATCTGCGATACGAGAGGTCCAAGCAGGAGGCACAGCCAAGGAAGGCAAAGGCCCAAAGGCTGAAACTGCAAGAAGGCCACGGGTCTGGGATCCAAAGTTTCCAAGATCCCAAGTTCTTAAGGTTCTAGTTCGCCGAGGCCCCCGTTTCCAGGCTTCGCGCATTCTCAGATTCGACGTACCCGGGAGGCTCTGCTTCCGAGGTGCTGAAACTCCCTCTGGACTCTCGCCGCGGGCCTAAACTTGCCCCGGGCGGGGGGCGGGGCCAGCCTCACCTGCAGGGGCGGAGCGCCTGGCTGCCCAGCCCCTCGGAGGACCCGCCCACGGCCCGAGACGCGGGGCACAGCTGGGAGCGGCGGAGTGTGCGTGGCTTTCGGAACGCGGCGGGCTGCAACGCCGCGGAGTGGGTCCCGGAACCGGCCGCGGTCAGGTGGGCGCCCGGAATGCGGAGCGGGGTCCTGGGAACCTCGAGGATGGAGGCAAGGGCGGCGGGTGAGGGCTGGGCCTGGCGCACCCCTGGGCCCGCTGGCTTGGCAACGGCGACCGGCCCGGGGGCCCCTGGGCGGCCCGTGCTCCGCCCTGGGGCTCCCCCGGCTCTGGAGGCCCAGCTGGGGCCGCGCCCCCTCCCCCTTGCGCAGGTAAACAGGAGCGAGGGCGGAGCTTAGGGAGAGGGAGGGGGCCCTTACGACGGCTGCCGGGAAGCCGGGGTGCGCGGGGCTTGGCAGGGGTAAGGAGTGTGGTTTGGGTGGTTGGCTGGCCATGATGGGGACCTGTTGCCTGCGAGTGTATGGATATAGTGTGCGCGTGTGTATGTGGTGGTGTACGAAGCTGAGGGGGGTGTGCGATGGGGTAGGGAGCTCAGGTGTGTGCAAAGACGTTGTCAGGCTGTGGGTATGGGTGTGAAGGGGAGAGGGACTGTCCGTGTGACCCCGCGAGGGCGCCCAGGGACTGTGCGAATGGTGTGGAAATGTGGGCTACCTCTGATTGCGTATTTGTGATCGTGTACATGTGTGTGGCTGTGTGTATGGGAGGGACCTGAATGTGGATTAGGTGTGAATGAGACCAAGAGGTGGCATGGCTGTGAGTGTCTCTCTGCCTGGAAGATGGGGGGAGTGGCGGGGAGGCGGCCGTGTGCGCAGCAGGATGGCCGTGAGGCGCGGGGGGCGGCGGTGGGGGGCGCTCTGCCAAGGACGGATGTGTGCTGGTGCGCACAGGGCTGAGCCCGTGCAGGGAGTTCGCTGACTGGGGGACCGTCTGAGTGTGGGAGCCGCTGTGCGTCGGGGAGACAGCCCCAGTGCTGTGTGGCTGCGGGTGTTGCCGTAGCTGGTACTGGGGCCGCGCGGCGGGCTCTGGGTGGTTGCAGGTGAGGCTGTGTCGGGAGCATTCGGCTAAGCCGCCTGGTATCGTGTGTGAGGCTGTGGGTGGCTGGATGTGTCGGCAGAGTTGCACGAATACTGGCTGTGTTGTTAGATGGCTCTTGAACTTGTGTGATTGTGTCTCACTATCTATGGGGCTTGTGTGTCTGGTGTGAGACCAAGGATAGTGTGACATACATACGTATATACATATAGAAAGGGACCGATAAATGCACAAACATACAGGGAGAGAGAGATTGAGGATGATGAGAGCGGTGGCTCGGCTGGTTGGAATGTCGTCCTGTACGCCGAAAAGGTTGCAGGTTTGATTCCCAGTCAGGGCACACACCTAAGATGCAGGTTCGACCCCTGGTTGGGGCGTGTATGGGAGGCAACCAATCGATGTTTCTTTCTCTCTCTCTTCCTCTCTCTCCCCTCCCTTCCTCTCTCTCTCAAATCAATAAGCATATCCTTGTGTGAGCATTTAAAACATTTCTTTAAAAACCCCACAGGATTGCATGCTGCCCTTCCCGCGTGTCTAAGCGTGTGTGCCAGTGAACTTGTGAGCAGGAGCAAAACCCCTGGGGCGGCCCTCGGTGGACACAGTGGCTTGAGTGAGGTGTGCCTGAGAGGGTGTGTGCGGGAACTGCGGCACTGCCTCTGCGTGTCTCCGCAGCTCTCTGTGCCCTGGGCACCCACTTGTGACAGCGCCACTCAGTCCGAGTTCAGGAGCCATTTGCATGCCCGTGTTTGGAGCTCTGTGTGTCCCTGTGTGTGCGCCACAAGGGCCAATTCCCAGCTGGCCCAGCAAGGGGTTGGGGGCTGGAGGAAGTGGGGGGGATGGTGACCTGTCCACCCTTCGGGAGTGCGTGCGCTTGGAGGCAGCGCTGGGCGCCCAGCGGCGACTGGGTGGCTTGCGGGACTGTGCGAGCGTGGGCGTGGCCGTGCGCTGGGTGCCTAAGCAAGGGGACGGTCTGAGTGAGAGACGTTGGGGGTTTGGTTATGTTCTGATGGGCGAGAGTGTTCATTTCTGCACGTGTGGTGTGTTGGCATATGTTTCTGAGAAGAAATAAAATGTACCTGTGTGTCGTGTTGAATTTCCAAGAGGGGAGCGTGTGCGTGTGTTTGCCTGAGTCAGTGCGTTACATCGGGCTGGATTTTGAAAGAAAAGTGTGGATGTGTGTGAGTGTGCTTGTTGAGTTTCATTTTTTAAAGGAGGAGGAGTGTGTCCAAACTGCGTTGTATTTCCAAGAGAAGAATGTGTCTTACGTTGCATTTCAAGAATCCCTTCGGAGGGTGTGTTGAGTTGCGTTTCTGAGAGCGGAGTGTGTCTGTATGCGCATGTGTACGTGAACGCTCCAGGGGCACCACCGGCTGGGCCGTTGACTCTGTTACCCCCACACAACCACATGAAGCCCCATGTGTGAGACCCCCACCCATTATGATCTGGGCCTAAGACCCTCAGGTGTCACATGGGCAGTGACATCCATGGGCCACACCTGTCACACATGTGTCCCAACATGCCTTGGGCTGGCTGGGCCTGTCCACAGTGGAGGGTGGAACCCCTGTTCCCTCAGGGTCTGCCAGCTCCTCAGGCCCCGGGAGCCCCTCCATGGGGCCCCCACCCTGACCCCCCTCTAGAGGCCTCCTCTGCTTCCGGTCCCTCCGCCCCCCAGCCCTCTCCTCCGTCCCAACCCCCAGCCCCAGTGGTCTGACTGGTTCCCAACAAAACACCCTAAGAATGAGCTCACAGAGAGGCTGCCGCCTCCACACACCCCGCCCCACACACCCAGCGTGCGGGCGCCTCCAGTTCCAGGTCACACGGCCAGGAGGTCTGTGCCTGAGGACCCGGGGCTCTTGGGGCGTTGGGCCTGGCCCGGGAGCTGGAGCAGGCGGGAGGCCACCAGCCAGCTGTTTGCCCTCTTGTGGTCAGTCACATATGGGGTTTTGGAGTTGTTCTCAGGGCAAAGGTAGACGAGAAGGTTCCCGCTTGAGGGCTGGGCAGGATGGGCGTGGGACAGGATGTCGGCTGGAAGGAGGAGGGTACGGAGCAGAGGGCTGGCGGGGCGGCAGAGAGGGAAGCAGCTGCGAGGGGTCCTGCTGGCCGCGGGGGCTTGGAGGCTGAGGGGCTGGCTTGCCTGGCCTTGACAGTGAGTCCCCAGCCCTGGCTGTCCCCCAGGAGCAGCGATGTCTGTGCAGGTGGCAGCCCCCGGAAGCGTGGGGCTGGGCCCCGAGCACCTGAGCCCTGAGGAGCTGGTGCGGCAGACGCGACAGGTAGTGCAGGGGCTGGAGGCCCTCCGTGCAGAGCACCGTGGCCTGGCCGGGCACCTGGAGGAGGCCCTGGCAGGACAGGACCCAGTCACCGGCTTGGAGCTGCTGGAGGAAAAGCAGCAGGTGGTGAGCCACGCGCTGGAAGCCATCGAGCTGGGGCTGGGCGAGGCCCAGGTACGAGGGGTCCAGCCCTGGTGGGGAGACCCGGGTCTGGGGGGGGGGGCCCAGTGGGAGGGCCCAGGTGTGCAGGGGATAAGCCTGGGGCAGGTGAGACCGAGTGAGCCAGGTCTGGGAGGCGGAGGCTCTAGGCCAAAGATGGGGCTCTTGAGCAACAATGCAGAGGCCCTTGGATGTGACAGGAACCCCTGAACCGGGTGGGGGTCCTTCTGCAGAACTGTGGGTCCTGGGGAGACTTTGGGGTGCATGGGGGAACATGAAGTCCCTGGGTATGATTTGTGTGCCCGGGTGAAATCACAGGGGTCCCTGGGCAGGGTTTGGGTTTGTCTCTGGGGATCTCTGTGCATCCTTGGGGTCCCACTCGAGGGCTCTGCAGAATCTGGGGGAATCCCTGATAGAATGGGGATGCTCAGGCCTGAACTTGAGGCCCTGGGCTGGGGCAGGGGCTGCCTGAGCCCTGACTCTCGCCCCCTCACCCTCCCACGGCAGGTGCTGTTGGCCCTGTCGGCGCACGTGGGCGCCCTGGAGGCTGAGAAGCAGCGGCTGCGGGCGCAGGCCCGGCGGCTGGCCCAGGAGAACGTGTGGCTGCGGGAGGAGCTGGAGGAGGCACAGCGGCGGCTGCGGGCCAGCGAGGAGGCCGTGGCCCAGCTCGAGGAGGAGAAGAGCCACCTGGAGTTCCTGGGGCAGCTGCGGCAGTACGACCCACCTGCGGAGAACCAGGTGCCGCGGGGCCGGGCGGGGGTGGGCCACGCGCACTAGGGGCCTGACGCTCCTTAGGGACCCCACCCTCCTTAAGGGCCCCATGGCCCCCCAAGCCTCCGTGGAGCCCCACGCTCGAGGCCCTCAGAGAACCCCTCAGTCCACTAGAGCTTCCACAGAAGCCCTCAGCTTCTGCTCCGCAAACCCCCCAGGTCCGCCCCAAGCCCTCAGGCCTCCCGAGGCCCTGACCACCGCCTCCCTCAAACCCCGAGGTTCAGGACCCCAGCTCTGGAACTAACTGCCAGTCCTCATGACTCCCCACTTCTCTGTCCTCTCCGCAGCAGCCCGAGGTGCCCCCTCGCCGAGACAGCCTGGCCTCCCTGTTCCCCAGCGAGGAGGAGGAAAGGAAAGGTGGGCGTCAGGGGCGCGTGACTGTGGGAGCTCGGCCGTGCAGAATGGACGGCGGGCGGAGGCTGGGGAGGGACTGCGGGGCCCGAGGTCTCTGAGCAGGGAATGGGGGAGGTCAGCGCAGGGCATCGGGAGGAGGAAGCAGGTGGCTGTGGGGGGTGACAGTGGGCAGGTGAGGCTGGAAGATGTGAGCCCAGGCGGGCAGGTGCCTGCGTTCACATCCCACGGGCCCAGTTAAATGCCTGGGGTCACAATCTCAGAAGTCAGTGCAGGGCCCCACGGTCCTGGGGGCCGGCTGAACAGCAGGGCAGCTGGCTCTGGTGTACGTGTCCCCTCATGTGAGGCTGGGGCGGTAGGAGGCCTGCAGTGACTGGGTACCCCGCACCACCCACCCCGCCAGGCCCTGAGGCCATGGGGGCCGCAGCAGCTCAACAGGGCGGCTACGAGATCCCCGCCCGCCTCCGGACCCTGCACAACCTCGTGATCCAGTACGCGGGGCAGGGCCGCTATGAGGTGGCCGTGCCGCTGTGCCGCCAGGCCTTAGAGGACCTGGAGCGGAGCTCAGGCCACTGCCACCCTGACGTGGCCACCATGCTCAACATCCTGGCCCTGGTGTACCGGTGAGGGCTGCTGCTGGCTGTGGCTGGACGGGCTGCAAGGGTGGGAGCCGTTGTTGGGCGGAAGAGGCGGGACCCCAGTGTCTGCTCTGTCATCGCGGGTTACAGGCATGTTGGGGCGGGGGGAGACAGAGATCCAGAGAGGCCACTTCGATCAAGGCAAAGAGAAGTCGGGGCGTGTGGGTGACAGAGACCCCAACCCGAGTGGGGGCAATACCTGGGGCGGTCAGAGGCTTGGCAGTGATTTGGAGTAGGACCCCGTGCTAGACTTAGGAGGTGTGGGGAGACCCAGAAGGGACCCCCGCAGGGTGCCACCCATGCTGGGCTCAGCCCGGCCCCTGCTGCCCCACCCTGGCCGACGACCTCCGCCCCTGGGCCGCACCACAGGGACCAGAACAAGTACAAAGAAGCCACAGACCTTCTGCATGACGCGCTGCAGATCCGGGAGCAGACACTGGGCCCCGAGCACCCGGCGGTGAGCAGGCCGGGGGCCGGGAGGGGGTGGGGGGGGCGGGCGGGCAGGCTGGGCCTTCCTACCCCTGACCTGGCTGCGCGTCCCACAGGTGGCTGCCACCCTCAACAACCTGGCGGTCCTCTATGGGAAGCGCGGGCGGTACCGGGAGGCGGAGCCCCTGTGCCAGCGAGCCCTGGAGATCCGTGAGAAGGTCCGCCCCTGCCCGAGGAGGCCCTTCCCGCTCGGCCCTGAAACACTCGGTTCCGTGGGTCTCCCAGTGACACTGACCCTGGGCAGCCCCGATTTGTCCCTGTGACCCCCTGACCTTTTATGCCCTTCTCTCACTGGATGTGTAAGCCAGCAATTGAAGCCTAGAGTGCTCATCCCTGTAACCCACCACACTTGACCTCCCCTGAGCTTCCTTTGATCTTGACTCCTGACTCTGACCTCTCTTCTTGTAACTCACCTCCATGCCCTCAACCTGGTACAACCCTGTCCCTCATCTACCCATTTGACCTCGTATCCCAAGGTCAAGGTGGTTCCCGGACCACCCTGGCCTCCGACCTGGTATCCAGCTCAACTTCATGTACTTCTCCACTTTGATCCTGTAACCCCTAACTTGTGCCCCCCGCGTGGCTGCTGGTGTCACATGGCCTGCCAGTCCTGGATGACCCCAATGACTTGTGACCCCACAACCCCTAGGTCCTGGGTGCCGACCATCCGGATGTGGCCAAGCAGCTCAACAACCTGGCCCTGCTCTGCCAGAACCAGGGCAAGTTCGAGGAGATGGAGCGGCACTATGCTCGGGCCCTGAGCATTTACGAGGCCCTGGGCGGGCCCAATGACCCAAACGTGGCTAAGACCAAGAACAACCTGGTGAGGGCGCTGTGGGCCCTGGGGGGACTGACGGGTCACATGCTGGGGAGGCACCCTTGCCTCAAGGGTGGCACGCCAGAGGCCAGGAGCACCCCCCTGCCAGGCCCTTGGAGGGGTTCCCCGAGAACCCTTCCCAGCTGGGCCCTGCCTGGGGCGAGACTGCTCCTCACAGACGATGCTCAAGTGTCAGGACACAGGCAAGTGGGGACAGCCGGACAGACTGGCCTGGAGCAGATGACAGCATCAGACATTTATTAAGTTCTAGGTCCCCTGCTTAGTACTTTCCCTGTACCATCCATTTCTGAAAGGACCTTGTGAGGTAGGTGTTCTTGTGGCCCCCATTTTGCAGATGAGGAAACTTAAGGCACAAAAAGGTTGTGTCACCAGCCTAAGGTAGAGCAGGAAATGGGCTGAGCCAGAAAGTCCCCTGCGCTGGGCCACCCAGGCAGGAGGTGGTGGGCTCAGGCTGCAAGCTCTGCTGTAGGCCGAGGCCTGGAGTGGGGCTGGGGCTGGGGGGACCGGGGGTGCTGAGCCTCGGGGGCTCCCAGACCTGAGCCGGGACCAGCCAGGCCACGCCCCCTGCAGGCCTCAGCCTACCTGAAACAGAACAAGTACCAGCAAGCGGAGGAGCTGTACAAAGAAATCCTCAGCAGGGAGGACCTGCCCGCCCCTCTCGGTAAGCCCCCATTCCTTCCCATCCCCCCCAAGTGGCTTCTTAGGGTCCCGACCACAATGTTCCCCATCTGTCCCTCAGGAGCCCCCAACACAGGCGCAGCTGGTGATGCAAGACAACAGGTGAGGATGGGCTTCGCTTCAGCTCCAGGGGGCAGGGCGGGCACGGGAACTGGGTGGGATGTGGGGACTGACGGTGTCCCTCCCCAGACCCTTCGTCGGAGCAGCTCGTTCTCCAAGTTCCGTGAGTCCATCCGGCGTGGGAGTGAGAAGCTGGTCTCCCGTCTCAGAGGCGAGGGGGCAGCGGGCGCAGCCGGGTGAGTGCTGGTCAGGTCGGCCAAGAGCCCTGGTATCTGCAGTCCCTCCCCTCATCCTGCTCCAGAAGCTTCTGAGGCTCCCGTCTCCCCTGTGCTGGGGCGGCCTCCCCAGGGTGGGAGCGAGGCCCCCCAGGACGCGCTGGTCCCCCTGCAGGATGAAGAGAGCCATGTCACTCAGCACACTGCACGTGGATGGCGCACAGGCTCCGGGGACCCAGGTGAGGGGCAGGCGGCGCCCCTAGCTCAGGATGGAGTGGCAGCCACGCTGACGGGCCCGGGGTCAAGGGGAGGGAGGGGACAGGCTGGCGCCGGGGGCCAGTGGGCTGGAATGGACCCAAGGACAGAACGGGCAGGTTCTCCGTGGCAGTCAAGGTGGGCGAAGGAGGGTGGGCGGCAGAGCCACTGCGATGGACAGGCCGGCAGCCAGGCGGCGGGGAGCTCTGATGGCAGCTGGGGCAGGCGTGCCTGCCCTCATCCACCCGTCAGCCACCCCTTGTGCCTGTCCCCAGCCCCTCCACCGGCACCTGAGTGAGGTCTCTCGGACCCTCAGCACCAGCACCCAGGACCTGGGCCCCCGCTAAAGTCAACAGGACCACGTGGCTGCGGCTTCCCCGGGAGAGGAGGAGACGGCGGGCAGAGAGGCCTTCCGTCTCCTGCCGGGCTCCCACCTCTGGGACAGCTGGTGGATTGGGCTGCCTCCCCTCCTGCAATTCCCCTCCTGCGATTAAAGGCTGTAGATGTGACTGCCAGGAGTGTCTGCCCGAGGCTTCCTTCCTGCAAGGGCCTCCCAGCGCCGCCCAGGGGCACCCCCCACACCCCGGGACTCAGGGCCAGGCACGATGCAGGAGCCGCCCGGACGAGCTTCTACGGCCCTGCCCCACCTCGCGCTACAGCTGCTGTGCAATCTGTTGGATCCTCCGCAGCGTCTCCTCGGACTCCAGCTGCTCCAGGCTGAGCAGGGACAGGCCCAGCTGATCCTCCTGGAGGGGAGGGACACAGAGGGAAGGGTCAGGCCAGGGGCGGGAGGCCGCTGCTCCGCTTCCTCACAGGCCCCCATGAGGAAATGGGGGTCCACAGCGACCGGCGGTGGCCGGCACAGCACAGGGCTGCAAGGACAGCATGCTTGATTCTGGAAACACCTGTAGGATGCAGTGCGTACTATCCCTGTAAACAGAAGGTGGGCCAGGAGACAGCAGCCCAACAGCTGTGCCCAGGCTCGAGAAGGATCAGCTTGCCAGAGGCGCTCGCCCTTCCTCCTGGGGCTCCCACACCCCCGCTCGCCTGCTGTAGCCACACGCTGTGCCGGCATCTGTGGCCCGACTCCCAGCAGTTCCCAGGCCAGCACATGGGCACACAAAAACCTCTTTGTGGAGGGCAGCTGGGGTGAGAGCGTGGGGAGGAAGCCGGGAGACCTTCCCAGAGGAGCAGCTTAGCTTGGGAGGGCGAAGGAAGTGGGGGCAGCCGCCTCCAGCTCACCCTGTGGAACGGCTGCGCCATCTGCCGCAGGAAATACTTGGCCACCTGGACTCCCTCGTCCACGGTCAGGTTGAGGTTGGCGTCCGTGAGGTGCTCCTGGATCCAGCGGGGCAGCTTCCCCCGCTTGTCTGCCCGGGCAAACCGCTTTGAGGAGGCGGGCGGGAGAGAAAGGGAAGGTGTCAGGACCCTGGGGCGGGGGCTCGGGCCATCTGGGCCAGGACGGGGAACAGCCAGGCGGGGGGGGGGGGGGGGTCCCTGAACCCGCACCTTGTCTGCGAAGATCATGAGGCCGTAGTCTGTCTTGCCCCTGATGGCCCGACCCACACACTGGGCCGCATGGCGCATGGCATCAAAAGTGAGAAAGTCGTTCTCACGGATCTGGAACTGGTCCCGCAGGTATTCCAGCCGCGCCTGCAGCCAGATGGGAAGCGGTCCCTCTGCAGGCAGCCCCTCCCCTGCGCGCGCCCTAGCTCCTAGCGGGAGGGCCCCAGCGAGGCCCTCACACCCTGTGACCCTCGGCCCAGCTGCTCACCTTGAGAATGCGGCTCTGGGTGTAGACGTAGGGGACACCAAACATGATGACAGCCCGCCCGAAGTGGTGCACTGTGGGGACAGCGGGGGAGGGGCTGCCGGTGAGACCCGCTGGAGAGCCACCCGCATGGAGCCCAGAAGTGGAGAGAGCGGGGGTGCTCTAGGGCCTCCGCCAGCCCCCAGGGGTGGAAGGGAGAGGTGTCCCCCGGGGGGGGGAAGAAATGGCCAGAACCCCGGGAAGGCTCTTGGGAAGGGGAGAGCCCAGTCTACTCACCAAAGTCGATGCCCTCGGACACTTTGCCTCGAGCCACCGACAGCAGGATGGCCCCGCGGCCGTTCTCGCAGGCCTGCGGGGGCAGGGGGGAGGCCAAGACGGAGCTGCAGCCCCTCAGAGCTGCCGCTCTGGCCCCTCTCCAGCCGCTCCTTTGGCACCCCCCACCCCATCCTCACCTCCTGGTACTTCTCCAGGGCGACACTGGTCTCGGCCCCGTCCTGGGTCTCGATAAAGAGCAGCTTGTTCCTCTGAATGTTCTCGAGGATGCCCTAGGGAAGGACACTGGCAGGTCAGAGTGTGGGTCGCAGCAAGAGGACAAAGCCCACGATGCCCGGGCTGAGCTCAACTGTGCCAGATGCCTGACAGCAGCCCGCCCCCTGCCCCGCGGAGCCCGGAGGGCGGGAGCACTGGCCAGCCTCACTCCCCGGGGGAAGCCCTGCGATCCTGGTAGGGAACCGATCCCTACACCCCATCTTTTGGACAAGTGGCCCGAGAAGGCCCATCAGCACACTCCCCCAGCCCCCCGCCTGACTGGCACAGACGCTGGCTAGGCCAGCCCGCGCCCACCAAGAGCTGCCCGGGGGCTGCGATATAGGCACGTGACCAAGGACACACACACAGGCCAGCGGGACAGACTGAGGGTCTAGAAACACCCCCGTCGCAGGAGGACACCCGCAGCGTTCAGCGGGGAGAGCTCTTTTTTAATAAATGGGGCTGGGGCAGCTGGCTTTCCGCACAGGAGAGACGCAAGCCTCGACTTCACACCACACACAAAGGTGACCTGCGGTGACCGCAGACCTAGATGGGAAGCTGACACTGCAGAGCTTTCCAGGAGCAAACACACGAGACTACCGCTGTGACCTTGGGGCAGGCAAAGGTTTCTTACACAGGACACAAAAGGCACTCAGGACGTGGGGCTCAGGTGGCCAGCAGCCACCTCCAGCTGAGTGGGAAGCGCCTGAGGACAAAGCAAGGTCTAGGCCACGAGTGGAGGAGGTGCCCACCCCCACCCCTCCATGGATTGGCCAGAATCGCCTACCTCACCCCCAAGGTGTGCCTGGTTTCACCCTCCCCCGAGAGCTGGGCCACGGGACCCTCAGACATAGGGCAGCAGCCCCGCCCCACCTCACATCCTGCCGCCGCCCTGTGCGCGGCGCCTGTTTCCGAACGCCCCATGACCTCGGCCACGCACTCCTGGGTGCGGACCCTTTGCCCCAAGTCTCTGTCCTGTCTTCATTCTCCAAAACCTTCCCCTAATTGCACAGCACCCAAGAGGGTCATGCCTGCTACCCAGTGTCTCCATGTCAAGCCATATGTGCTAGGGGGACAGTCACGGTGGTAACCCCTAAAAAGCAGCAAGGGAACAAGGAATCAAGAAGGCAGGGTGTAGTTCTCTCTCCTGAGGGGACGCCTTTCAGGGAAGGGCCCACAGAGGCTGCTGACATCTTCGTTCTTAACCTGGCTGTGGGGGAGGGGCCCAGGGTTACACATTATTTTTCCTTTACACTGTTCATATGTCTTCTACACTCACGTCACGTATGACACGTCACCATTTACAGCACAAGCGAAGCTGACACACAGGAGCAGAGCCACGCTGTGAGAGGCGGGGCCCGTCCCGGGTGCAGGCGGCAGGGGTCACGGGGCGTACCTGCTCGTACCAGGAGGCCACGGTGCTCTCCATGTACTGGTAGCTGGTGAAGAAGGCCACGATGCCGTCGGGGACCACGGCGGACATCTCCAGCAGGAGGTTTCCGTAGTTGCGGATCACCGCTGTGCGGGTCAGAGGTTGGGCCCACCGCTGGCCTGGGTCCTCCCCCCACTCACTCCCTAGCTGAGCGTTCCTGTCTAATGCCCGGCCTTGAGCCTGGGCTTCCTGGAACCCCAGTGAGCCGTCCTTGGGCTGCTCACACACACATTCCATTTCTCCCTGCAGGCCGGTGGGAGGACAGCAACCCTGCCACCCTCCTACCCCTCAAAGCTAGGCCTGGCCAGGCACCCCCAGCACCTTTGTGAGCCAGTGTGCATTCACCATGGGCACCATGATCTCTCCTGCCACTCCTCGCCACTGCAGTGCCATGTTCGACGGTGCAGGTTCCCTTAGCGGCGCCGTGGGCAGACCCCCACCAACCCACAGCGCACCAACCGTGGACAAGAAGCAACCTCTGTGTGATGCCACTCTGCCTCGGGAGTTTTTGTCACTGCAGCAAGGCTTAGGCCATACTGACTGATAAACCTCCCCTCTCTGAACCCCAATGAACCAGTCCCATGGGGCAGCATACCAATATCATCTCTGGTCTCAAATTTGGAGCTGATGGCCACCTGATCGTTGCCACGGCCGATGATCTGGAGAGAGGACAGGCCACAGTAAGCAAAGCGGCAGCAGCAACCACTCTGATGTGTGAGTCCTGGCTGCCAGCTGGTGCTGTTTTTTTTGTTTTAAGATTCTTTATTTTTAGAGAGGGGGAAGGGAAGGGAGGAGAAATGTGTGGTTACCTCTTACCTTCCCCTCTACTAGGGACCTGGCCTGCAGCCCAGGCATGTGCTCTGACTGGGAATCGAACCGGTGATCCTTTGGTTCGCAGACCAGCACTCAATCCACTGAACCACTCCAGCTGGGGCTGGTCTAAGCTTTTTATGGACATGGTATCAGTGAATGAACCCTCAGCTACCTTGTTATCTGTACTGTATAGAAAAATGGCCTAAGACTCAGAGGCCAGTCGCCTGCCCAAGGTCACTCGGCAAATAGAGCAGAGACAAACTGCACCCAAGTCTGCCCGCAGTCCCAAGCAACAAGCGCCCTCCAGCTGGCCCCAGCCTCCGGCCAGTCGGCTCCCGGACCGCACTCCTCACCAGGACCTTGATGGTCCCTGGCGCACCCCCACCAGCAACCTCACAAAACCGCGCTGCGGTGCTTGGTTGGCACCAGTCCACAGCTCCGGGAAAACTACTCTCAAAGCCCCAACAGTCTGGGGAGCCTGGATAGCTAAGTTTGGTACAAAGTAATATAGTGGCGAAACCTGTCCTAAGTCTATTCAGAGTCCTGGCTGGTCTCCCTCTGCGACCCTTGAAACTGTTTGGCCGCTGAAATAATCGCCGGACGTTGACAGAGGGTACTGCTCAGACTCTGTGGGGGTGCTGCACAGCGCACAGCACATGCCTTGTTTCTAAAGTCTGGAAAATTCTCGGTTCTCAAACACATGTGGCCCAAGAGCTTCGGATGAAGGACCGAGGGCTGGTGCTATGCGGCCCAGTGTACAGAGGAGACTGAGGCAGTGCAGAAGGGTCACTTACCAAGGTCACAGCCAAACAATGAACTGGGCAAAGCCAGGTCACCCAAGAGCCAGGCCCTGGGCCCCACAGGCATTTTACACCCATCAGTTCACCCTCCCCTCTGCCGCCTTGGGAGGTCCAGAGGAGGCGCCCAGTTTACAGACGAGCAACCCGAGGCCAGGGGCGCACGCCCACAGCGGGCGGCGGCTTCAGTCCCAGACTGTGTGGGCCCAGGGCCCCTGCCCCGAGCGGCTCCACCCTCCGGCCGGATCGATGGGGGAGCAGGCGGAGGAAAGGCAGCCCCTTGCTGTCACCCTCCCACCCGTCACCCAACTCTGACCCACGCACCATGGGGCACAGGCAGACCCGGGCCAGTGTCATGGTGAAGGTTGCCATGGTGACAGGGTGGAAGTCCAGGATCCGGGGGTAGATGTCCAGCGGGGACAGCGTCTGTAGTGAGGACAACAGGAGGGATCTCAGCAGGACTGGGTGGGAAGCAGGAGCCCCACAGCGGAGGCCTGGGGACCGGGGGGCAGAGAAGGGCCCTCACCCCAGACGTGATGATGACCGACTGGAAGCGCTCGAATACGGGTTTGATGGCCAGCGAGGCGTCCATGCAGCTGTGGGAGGCAGACGAGGACGGTGAAGGCCCGGCCGGGGGCCTGAGGCCCATGTGCACCCCCGCTGGGGTCAGCTCTCACCTGAAGTGCAGGACGGGGTTGGCAATGGTGGGGGTCCTGTCGTCAAAGGGCTCGATGATGATGGTGAACCCTACAGGGGGGCGGTGAGAATCCTGGGATGCCGGTGATGACCACGCCCACTTGCCCAGGCCCCACCCCCATAGTGAAGGGGACCAGCCACTTGCAGACCAAGCCTAAAACCCAGGCACCTGCGTCCAGAGTACACGGCAACCTGCCCACTTCTCCCCACGACCAGCACCTGCACCAACGCTTGTGGAGGATCCTGAGCAGAGAGCGCCCCAGGTTCCCCCCTCAGTCTCTCCCAGGGCCACCGGGAGGCCATCGGCTCTGCTTCCGAGCCTATCTGCAACCCGACCGCTCCCCGCACCCCCAGTCCGGCTGCATCCCCTCCTGCCCGAACCACTGTCCTCACCCCCTCACTGGGCTCCCAGCGCCCACCTCCGCTCCCCTCACGTCAGCCAGAGGGACCCGGTGAAATCCCGAGTCAGGTCACATCCCTTCCCCGCTCAGAAGCCCCTCACAGCCCCCATCACGCCGCACCCCTCCCGGGGTCCAGACTCGTCTGCGGGACCTCGCCACGCCGACCCCATTTCCTCCTTGCTGACGCGCCTCCTGCCTAACTCCAAAACCGCCCTGCTCGCGCCACGCAGGGCCCTCGGGCTTGCAGGCCCTGGCAAGCTTTCACGGCGCTGGCCCCACTGGGTCACTCGGGACTGTGCTCCAACGCCAGCTCCTCAGAAACGCCTTCCCTGGCCGCCCTGGCCGCTGCACACCTGCTCCAACGTGGCACTCTGTTTCTCATGAAATGATCACTTTCTGGAATTACCTTCCTTGTTTGTGTGCGTCTTTGCTACCCTTCTTTCCCTCTAGAACATTAGTTCCAGGAGGTCAGGAATGAGGTCTTTCTTGGTTTTTGCTGCTTCCCCAGTGCTGGGCAAGAGCCATCAGTTGAACAAACAGATAAATAAAATCATATATTCAATTTCACTTTGTTTAAAAAAAAAAAGTGTGAGGGCCCCTGTGCCCGGCCCTGTGCCAGGGGCACAGCCGTGACCAAGACAGCTCCGGCCCTGCCCTCTCGGGGCTCGCTGTTCAGCGATGGGGACACAGACCTGTCCCCAGTGACCACCGGAGATGGGAGAGCCCAGAAGGGGCCGAACCCAGGCTGGAAGTCAGAGAGGGCTTCATGGAGGAAGGGATGTCTCTGCTAAGCTGGGACCTGAGGATGAGGGGGTAGTTGGGGGCTGAGGAGGAGGGGGAAGGTGTTCCAGGTAAAAGAAGGGGAGGCGTTGGCAGGTGGGGCAGGTGTGGAGGGGAGGGGAGAGGAGAAAGGCAGCCCTAGGGGGCAGAAAGCACAGGCCACAGGGCAGAGGCGGGAGGAAGCTTCCAGTGGGGCTCCTGCTGATGGGCCGCCTGGCCATGGGGGAAGGGACTCTCCATCCTCCCCCGGAGGCCAGTCCTGGAGGCGGCTGACCTGGTTTCCTGACAGAGGAGTAATCCCCAGGGGCCACACTGAGCCCCGGGGCAGCCCAAAGCTGAGGAAAGCGAGGGAATGCTGACCGAGCCTCTGGAACACTCCCCCGTCCCCGGCAACCTGGAATCTGAGCAGCATCCTCGATGCCCCCTTCCCACCCCAAGCCGGCCACCCCAGGCCCCGCCCCTTTTACCTCCCACATCGCCCTCCAGCCCCTCCAGCCCCTCCCTTTCTCTCGTCAGGCCCTGGCCCAGGCTCCATCTACCCAGTCTCCAGTCCCTGCGGGAAGAACCTAAAGTGCAAACCTGCCCCAGCACCTCCCTCGCTCAGAACCTGCCATAGCTCCCCAGTGCCAACAGGAAGAGAGCGACCAAGTCCTTCCCACAGACTAAGTGTCGGCTGACCCCACAGAACTTCTCTGGGTGCATCTCAGGCCATCGCCCCCACCCCCGCAGCCTGCAGCCATAGGGAGCCCCTGAAAGCAGATCTGCACACGAGGCTCGCTCACTCAAAACCGCTGGTGGCTCCCCAGCGCCCTCACGGTCCAAACTCCCGAGCCCAGCTCTACGAGGTCCTGAGCATCCACGCCCCACACACAACCCTCCAGATTCCTCTGGGACCAATTCCGGTTGCCGGGGGCCCGGCGGGCACAGGGAGAGGCGCGCTTACCCTTGGCGTAGGTGCTGACTAGGGTGGCAAAGTTAGCCAGGAGGGTGAGCGGGGAGAAGTCGGCGAGGTCGGTGATCTCCAAGGTGTGCAGGAGGGAGCGGAGGCGCTCTGCGCAGAACCTGGTGGGGGGAGGGGGCCAGGTGGGGTCAGGGGGTAGTGGAAAGTACAGAGGAGACCAGCAGCCCCCCACCCTGGCCTTCCCCCCGACGCCGGGCGGAGCAGGCGGTCATGCCTCTGTCTCCACAGGTGCCTGGGGGCTCAGGGAGGACAGGGACTGGGGCTGTTTCGGTCACCTCTGTGCCTGCATGTTGTACAAGGGCACATCAGGCAGAGCTGCGGCTGCGCAATGACACGCAGAGCAATGATCACACACCCGAGTCACATCCCACATCACTCAGGGTCACACAGTCTCAGACGCAGGTTCTGAGTCAAAATAGGAGATGCACAGTCATACCTAGAATCCCAGTCCTGTGAATCCTGCACGGCCACACGGTCATACACTCACACCCTGAACCTCACACTGTCTCAGTCATGCTCGGCCACCCTGGTGACGCATACAGCATCAGGGTCCCACAGACTCACACACCCACGCCGTCTCACACATGCTGCGTCACATCCACGCACACGCGAGGCCTCCCGGCCACAAACGCTGGCCTTCGGGCTTGAGGCTCTCACCCCTTGAAGACAGGGCACAGGGGCAGGACCGCCTGCCTCCAGAGTTGAAAACCTGCTCCTGAACGTCGCTCTTCAAGTCTGGCCTCTGTACCCCTCCTCGCCCCTCCCCAGGCTGCAGCGGGCGCCCCTGTGGGCTCTCGCACCCCAGCGCTGCCCACTCTGGTCTGTCCCTGTCTGCAGAAGCGGCTGTCTCCCCATGGGGCTGTGCGCCCGGAGGGCAGGGCCAGGGCTGTCTCGGTCCCCACTGCGTGCCCAGCACAGAGCAGGCCCTCAGAGAACACGCGTCGAGGGGCGTCTTAAGACCCCCATTCCCCACGCGGAGGGAGGCAGGCAAGGCCGCACCGTGGGCTGCACAGGGCCTCAGAGGCGGAGCCGCCGGGAGCTTCAGAGCCCCTGGGCCTGGCTGCGCACAACGGCCCCGCGCACACTGTGCGACTCTGCGCCAGGGCGCCCCGCTCTGGGCCACACGGGGACAGCGCGGGGTTTCCGTGAGGTACAGAATGGGAGGGCTTAGCTCATCATCAGCACTCAGGGCAGGGTGGGCTCTTACACCACCGCTTCCTCATTTCACCGCCACAGAAACCTGCGTGTAAAGGACACGACCCCCTGCCCATCCACGGAGGAGGAGACGAAGCTCAGAGAACAATGACTTGTCCCAAACAGCCAAGGAAAAGTCCGGAAGCCCTGCCCTCCCGCCAGGCCCACTCTGGTCCTCAGGCCGGGGGGGTGGGGGTGGGGGCAATGAGTGGCACTGCTGGGAAGAGAGGGGCCGGGGGTCTGGGGCATTTCCTCCAAGCTCCCACCTGCCGGGTCGCGTCAGGAGCCCCGCCTTAGGGCCACTCTCCCCCCTGCCCCGTGGCCTGGGCTGGAGTCGCCCCTGCGCTGCGGCAAGCGCCCCCGTTGGCTCCTCTGCCTGCCCAACCCCTCTGCAACCAGCGTGCCCACTGAACTCTCCTTGGGGGCCGGCAATTCTCTGATCAGGCCGCGTGCTGCCTGCTGGGCCCCTGCCCATCACGGGGACCCCAGGACCTGCTCCAACCTTGCCCTTGGACCTGCCCGCTCCGGCCAACGGGTGTCATGCATGCTCCCTTCAACCCCCAATCCTCACTTTCTCCCGACACTGGCAACAAGATGGCCGCAGGCCATTGGTGCAGGGGACGAGGCGGCCTCCCGGGACCCGACCCCACCCCCGGCCGTGCGGGGCTGCACCTGAGGGGCTTGCGCTGGATGCACACGCGCTGGGCCAGGCCGCTCAGGAAGGCGGGGGGGCTCTCCTGCACCACATGCTGCACGCGCAGGCGCCACTTGACGTACTCCAACAGCCGCCGCAGGAAGCCCAGGAAGTGCTCAGCCGTGCGGATGGAGCCCGGCACAGCCTCTGCAGGGAGAAGGGGTCAGCCGCCACGCCACAGGGACAGCGGGACAAGGAGCCGACCGAGACGCAACAGCGGCTCACCCTGCAGCACCTCGTCGGGCAGCACAGGGTTGGCCAGGTGGGCGTCAGTCTCCCGGGCGACACTGGCCTCCCGCAAGCCCTCCACGAGGCGCTGGTACTCGTCCCGAAGACGCTGCTCATCTGTCTGCTTGATGCTGCGGGGAGACCGGGTATAGGAAGAGCAGGGGACACCTCGGGGGACACTGGGACAGGGCTGGTGTCCCTGGAGGCACGTCAGGCAGAGAACAGGGGCTCACTCAGGAGAGGCAGGGGCCAGATGGCAGGGGCAAGGTGGGCACCAGGTCTGCCATCTGTCTGCGTCCCCACCTGAGCACTGTCTTCTGCAGGGTCTCCAGGTTGCCCTGGCATCTGTCGAGGGTCCGGCGGGTGAGGTTGACGCTCATAGAGTCGATGCAGACATTGTCTACGGAGGAGGGGGCAGAGGGCTGGGCTCAGGCAGGCAGAGACTGGGTGGCGGCCTGAGGGGCTGGCCTCGCCTCCCCCGCCCCCCCCTCACCGATGTTGTGGGCCTCATCGAAGACCACGACAGCCTTGCGGGCCAGCTCCTTGGACACCAGGTCTGCAATCTTGGGGTCCAGGAGGTAGTGGTAGCTGTAAACCACCACGTTGGCATGCAGGATCTGGGGGACAAGGTTGGGGGTTACGCCTGATGGCCACCCGTAACCCCTGAACCTCGCTACCTCCCAGCCGCCCACACTACCGCGTCACTTCCTCACAGGCCCGCAGAGGCGAGGCAAGGACAGACACGGGCAAGGCACAAAACTAAGCAAGGTGACAGAGACAGACAGGCAGAGGCACGGACCCATAGGGAGATACAGGTAGGCAGACAGACAGACAGACAGACAGAGGCAGTCAAACAGGCAGGCGGCCTGTAGCCCTCGTGCACGCCCTCCGCTCCCCCGCCCCCGCCAGCCTCCTCACCGAGTAGCGGGCAAGGAAGTACGGGCACCAGCCCTGGCGCCGCCCCATGGCCTTCAGATCATCCAGGTTGTAGATGCCCGCAGGGAGGGGCACCTGGCGCCCGTGAATGTCAAATTCCTGGGGTGGGGCGAGAGGGAGCCTGGGGGTCAGGGAGGTGGGCTGCCACCAGCCGCCTGGCCCGCCCGCCCTCACCCCATCGGGGCAGGCACCTCGTAGAAGCGGCAGTGGGGCAGGCTGGTGTCCTGCTGGTACTGCGCCCGCACGTAGGAGGCTGTGAGGCTGTGGCACTTCCCATCCACATCTTTCCCGAAGCGCAGGGGCGTCACCTGGGGGGCAGGGCACACCTGAGCCCTGGGCCAGGCTGAGGAGCCCAGCCCGCTGGGACCAGGCGCCTGTACCTCGTCCCTGGGTGGGATGGGAGGCTGTCTTGTCCGAGGTGAGACGAGGGGATTTTTGGAAAACTCAAACCTCAGTCTGTTTCAATAACGGACAATTAAGACACTTGGGAAGTTACTGCAGGGGAACAAGAGTGGCAAAACTGTCGCCCTTAGATTATTAGTTTTAAAACCTTAAGCCCTACACACAATGGAGTATTATTCAGCCACAGAAAAGGAGGAAACCTTACCACTTTCGACAACATGATGAGGCCTTCAGGGCATTATGCTAAGTGAAGTAAGTCACACAGAGCAAGACAAATTACATATGATCTCATATGTAGAAACTTAAAAAAAATACATAAAAAGAAAAAAGAAACAACCAAGCTCCTAGATGAAGAGAGGAGACTGGTGGTTACGAGAGGTGCGGTCAGGGGTGGGCAACACAGGTGGAGGCGGCCTAAGGGTGCAAACTCCGAGTTACACGTAAGTCCTGGGGATGCGATGTCCGGCAGGGAGACCAGAGTTAATACTATGTTGCATATCTGAAAACTGCTACGAGGATAGATCTTAAAAGGTCCCATCACAAGAAAAAAAAATTTGTATCACTACGTAAAATGATGACCATTACCTAGACTTTTTGCAGTAATCATTCTGCAATATATACAAATACTGAATCATTACTTTGTACACCTGAAACTAATGTCAATTATACCTCAAAAAAATAAACAAAAAATACATTAAGCCTGGAAGATTGTTGAGTGTGCAGATTAAAGATAATGGCTTAATCTTTTAAAATGCTCGAATAGCCCGGTCCTTGGTGAGGTCTGAGTGTCAGAAGGGGTCTGATCGCACAGCACGGGGAGCCACCTGGCCCAGCCTGGCCCCTTGCCCTGCTCCCTGTCCCCAGGCACTATATCGCAGCCCCGGGCTGCTTTTCCTCGAAACAAAACCTCTCCTCTGTCCACAGGAGGCTCCGTGGCGGCCGACCCTTCCCCCGCTTCCCCATTCCAGCAGTCGCCGAGGACTGCGCTGCTTCTTTTTAATTATCACCCATCACATGTATTACTTCTCATATATTCTCACAAATAACGTTACAGGATAGATGTTCCATGAGTTACCACAAGTAAAGTGCTTAGAACAGTGCCTGGTGCACAGGGAGCCCTGCAGTCTGGTAACATAATTTTAAAATAACAACTAATAGTCTGTGTGTCATATATCTATTAGTACCATGACAATTTCTAATACTCTTTCAGTTCTTTGTACATGCTAAGGGCTATCTATAATCTCATCTATTCTTTTTTTTAATTAACTCAAGATAAATTTTTCTTTTTTTTTTTTTTAAGATTTAACTTATTTATTTTTTGAGAGAGAAGAAGGGAGGGAGAAAGAGAAGAAGAGAAACACTGATGTGTGAGAGAAACACCAATTGGTTTCTTACATGCCCCCCAAAGGGGGACCTGACCCACAACCCAGGCATGTGCCCTGGCCAGGAATCGAACCAGCGACCTTTTGGTTTGCAGGCTGGCGCTCAATCCACTGAACCATACCAGCCAGGGCATCTCACCTCACCTTATCATCAACTGAAGCAGGTACTTATTAATCCTCATTTTACAAAAAGGAAAACTGAGGCCCAGACTGCAGAAATCACCTATCTAAGAGAACACAGCTAATAAGTTCAAAGGCCAGAAAACCAGGCCTGGTAGACTCCAGGAAGTGCCTATTTTAACCTCTCTGAGGCTGGGGGGAAAGCAGGAAGGCTTCCCGGAGGAGGTATGCTTGCCTCAGCCATGAACAATGAGTGGGATTTGATGAACGAGAAGAGAATTCTGCGTGTGGCCCCTGCGTATCTCCTGGAGACCTCTGGTCTCGAGTGCTAAAACTCCTGGTCAGATGGAAGAGTTTCCTCAACCCCAGAGCTTCGGGCAAGGGGGGGAAATGGGCGCTCACCTCGGGATGAATACACAGGTTCTTTCGAGAGCTCAGAGCCAGGCCCAAAAACGACAGCTTCTCACCCTCCTGCTTCTCATAGAAGTTGAGCAACTTCCGAAGTTCTTCAATGACCTGTACCGGTTGAGGATGGAGGGGGGACTTGGCCTCCATGGAAGCCCATCCCCTGACCAGCCAGGCCCCAGCCCCTTCCCTAACTTCCCAAACACCCATCCCCCAACCTGTGATGGCAACCACCAGAGGGACCAGTGGGAGCCAGTGAACGGGGAGGAGCACGGACCGGCCCCGCTCACCTTCTCAATCTCAGGCACCGTCCTTGAGCAGTAGATGAGTTTAGTCACCTCCAGCGGGTATGCCTGCCGATGACAATGGGCTCAGCCCCAGTCTGGGCCCTTCCCCTCTTCCCCCTCTGCAGGCGCAGCGGGCCACTTACCCGCTGGTATGCCATGATCAGGGCCAACAGGGACACTGTCTTCCCAGTGCCTGAGGGCATCTCCAGGACTCCATGACCCTGCGTGTTGGGAATGAGAAGAACAAAACACAGGCTCTCAGAACTTCAGGGGCACACACTCTGGGCACACCCCCCCTCCGGAATGCCACCATCTTGGAATGGCAGGACAACGTAACAATTGCAAGCCTGGGATCCAGGAGCAGCAGGTGTGAACCTCACTTCTGCCACCTCTTTGTTGCGTGGTCTTTGGCAAGTGCCTTCTCCTCTCTGGCCTCAGTATCCTCATCTCTAAAGTGGGCCTAATAAGCTCTAATGAAAAACTGGGGGTAAAACATTTAGCATAGGATCTAAGTGAGCCCCTTTTTCTTTTAATTTAGCAAACCCTTCCACAGCACTTACTCTGCACCTGGGAATATTTCTAAGTGTCTTACATAAGACACTTTGGTTCTGTTGACATTTGGGGACGGGATAATACTTGGTTGCGGAGGGCTGTCCTGTGCACTGTAAAATGTTTAGCAGCATCCATGGCCTCTACCTACTAGAAGATAGCAGCACCCCCCACTCCACCAGTATGCTCACAGGAACATCTCCAGACACTGCCAAATGTCTTCTGGGGGTAAAAATCATCCCTAGTTGAGAACCACTACCTTACCCAGTAAATTAACTCATGTAACCCTCACATTAACCTCTGAGGTAGGTGCTATTACTACACCCATTTTGCAGAGGTGAAAGCTACGAACAGAGAGGTTAAGTGATTTACCCAAGGGCACACAGCTCTGGATGCAGGATTCCAACTCAGGTAGCCGTCCCCAAATTCTGTGTGTTCCTAACCACGGAGCAGCTTAGTCTTTGATAAATGTCATCTGCTATTATTAACTTGTCATTTTAGACAACACGAGGTTTTGGAGTGCTGGCTTTCCAGGGACCTTGGATTTCTATCTAGACCTCCTGCATTCTCAGTCTCAGCCGCCCGTGCAGCAGCCTCACGCACCTTGGCATCCAGCGTGCGTTTGAGCTCCAGCATGTAGGAAAACTGCTCCGGGTAGATGTAGTCGTACGGGAAGTAGACCAGCAGCCCGTCCACGTTGAGCCTGGCGGTGTGGGCTGCCCGATCAGTTCCGTGTCCCCTCAACCCCTCTCCAGCCCGCCCGCATACTCCCAAGTCGTCGGGCCGAGGAGGTTACCTGACGGGCTCGGCCCGCCGGTCCCCCAGGATATCTCCCAGTTTCCCAGGAGCCTCCGGGTCCCCTCGGCATCTCCTCGCTGCCCATCCCCGTTACGGCACCTTGGATCCCCGCGGCTGTCCCCACCCCGCCCCTCAGTCGCTCCTCGCCCCGCGGGGGGCTCAGGCGCGCCCACCGGTCCCCCCATATTCCAGGACCCCGTGCCCACTCGCAAGCCGCGAACCCCGGCCCCCCTCTCACTTCATGGCGCCGGCCGTAGCTAGAAGGTGCGTCAACCCGCCTCTCTCGTGAATATTCAATAAGGCAGGACCCTTGGGGCGTCCTCGAGGCACCGCTTCATCTTTCTCACGATACCATTGGCTGACCCTGATCGTCACTCACTGGGGTGGGGCCAATCAAGATAATGCGCTTGCGCACGGCAACGCGAGGGCAGGCTGCCGGAGAGGCCGTGCCAGAAACGTCGCTGAGGATCACCGAGGACCAAGACCAAAGCTAGGGAGGAAGAGAACCGAGAGAGTCGATCCCATTTATTGGGATTCGGTCTCCCCGCATCAACCCAGATTATCTGAGTAGCGAGGAGAGTCTAGGGGGAAGTAACAGGGAAATTGGGGACCCAGTTAGGGCCCACGTGTTAGGAATAGCTTCACCGCACCAAACAAGCGCTTATAAAATACCTACTGTGTCCTAAAGTTCACTGGGATAAATAACTCCTCTCATTTATTGGACTCCTGCTATTTGTCAGGTACTGTCTTAATCAGGCAGTAATAAAAAGGCACTGTGGTTTGGTGGTTAAGTTGTGGACTCTGGAACCAGAATGCCTGGGTCCAAATCCTGGCTCCACTGTCTACTACCACCTGCGTGAACTTAATCAAATTACCTAACTTCTCTGGTGCTCCATTTTCGTCTCTGCAAAGTAGGATAATTAGATTATCTACAGTGTAGACGACACTTAAACTAACCCACATAATGCAGTCAAAACTGGACTTAGTATATACTAAGCATTCAGTAAGTGCTAGCTTTTATGTGTGTGTTTCAGAAATAATGATGGCGCATCTACTGTGTCCCCGACCCTGTGCTAAGCCCTGGGTTACCACTTTGTAATCGCCTCATTTTCATTCATTCATTCACTCACATATATTCCCTGAGCCCCTGCTCTGTGCACACCCTATGCTGGGTGGTGAAAGGCACACGACAGTGACTGACTGAGACAGCCTCAGCCATGGCCTCTAAGGGCTCAGATTCCAGAGGGGAAGACAGACTCCTTGAAGACACTGAGGACCCAGAGTGCGCAGGGCTGGGATGCGGGTGGGATGGGGAGCAGCCCCTGACCCAGCTGTAAAGACTTGGGCAAATTTTTCTCGGAGACTCAATTTCCTCACTTCTAAAGAAGGGATAACGATGCTTACACCAACAAATGACATTTATTATACAGTCTTACAAATGAGACTATAATTCCAAGGTCAGACAGAGGCTCTTGACAACAGGTCCTATGGAGCGAGAACTCGTAATGGCGGTGATGGTGGGGGCAAGTGTTGAGCCTGCTAATGAGGTCACCAGCTTGACCTTGAATCTGCACCGAGGGAATGCTGGATGGGAACAGCTCCACCCAGAGATGCTCCTTGCAGTACGAAGTGCAGAGCAAGCAGGGAAGAGCAAACCCACGTGATGTCAGATGGCCAGGTGTAAGCCCTGATGATGCCTTCTGCTTAGGAAGAGTCTGTGTTCCCCACACGCCACTCCAGCCCCGTTGAGCTGCGTAGTCCTCTGGTGTTCACTTGCCTCCCGGCGTCCTCTTTGCCTGTGCATTGTCTCCCCGCTTGCCCTGCCTCACTCCTACCTCTCACCTTCAGGTCTCAAAGAGACATCCCCTCCTCCAGGAAGCCCTTCCTCACCCCCAGGCTGGGTCAGGCACCGTCTCGGTGCTCCCCCATCGCAGCCCTGTCTATCCTTTCAAGTGGGGTAGAGGGAGGAAAGAAGGACATCTTCAAACCAAGAGTATAATAAAATGAAATTGAGCATTGGACTTACATGTGCCAGGCACTGTACCTGCCTGACATCATTTCCCACTGTTCTCTCTGTTAGGCACTCCTCCCAGCCACACGCGGCCTCCTGGCTCTTCCTCCCAGGCACCAGGCCTGCATTAGTCAGCTAATCTGTGTAACAGCTTACCCGCAAATGTAATGGTTGGAGAACAATGGCATTTATTATGTACGTCAGGAGTTGAATACAGCCTCATTCATCCAGCTCAACTTGGAGACGATCCAGCGCTAAGCTCACCTAGTGGTTGCTGGCAGGATTCGTTTCCTTGCTGGCTGGGAGCTGGGAGCCCCCTGAGCTCCCTGGCATGTGGGCATCTCTGAGGGCAGCTGGCTTTATCGAAAGCACAAGAAGAGCCAGAGGGAGAGATGCAAAGATGGAAGTCATTGTCTTTTATAACCTCACATCAGAAGGGACAGTCCATCACTTTTGCCATGTCCCCTTCCTTAGGGCACATCACTACGTCCAGCCCGTGCTCAAGGGAGGGGTTGCTCCAGGGCGTGAATGCCAGGAGGCGGGATGGTTGCGAGCCATCTTAGAATGACAGATCCTGCCTCCTCCTGGCCTTTGTGGTCACCCCTCCCTCTGTGTGGAAGCCTCGTTCCAAGATCTCTGCATGGCTTCCTCCCTCAACCCTTCCCCTAAAGTCCTTTTCTCTCTGAGGCCTTTCCTGACCACCATATTTAAATTGCAATGTTCCCCAGGTAGGCTGAACAATGGTTCCCTAAGATCTGCAGGCTGTGATCCCTGGCCCCTGTGAGTTTCCCCTTGTGTGGCAAAAGGGACTTTGCAAGTGCGGTCAAGTTAAGGATCCTGAGATATCTGGGTGCTCTCTAACTGGAATCAGAGGGAGAGTCGATAGCGGGCAGAGGCAATGTGACACCGAAGCAGGACGCTACGCCGCCGACTTTGACGATGGAGGAGGGGAGCAGAGCCAGTGAAATCAAGGCACGTAGCTCTAGAAGCTGGAAAAGGCAAGGGAACCGATTCTCTGCCAGCGAGAGTGAGTGCAGCCTGCCAACACCTTGATGGCAGCCGAGTGAAAGTGAGTTCCAACTCCTGACCTTCAGAAGTGAAAATAAAAATGTATGTTGTTTTAAGCCGCCAAGTTTGGGGTCATTTCTTACAGCAGCCGTAGGAAACACATATAGTCACGTGACATGTCAACCATCAACCGCATGTACGGCAGGTCCTATTAGATTATAATAAAGCTGAAAAATTTCTATCACCTAGTGACATCATAGCCACTTTAACATTGTAACTCACGTATTACTCACGTGTTGCTGGCGATGCTGGTGTAAACATGCCCACTGTGCTGCCAGTCATAAAAGCATAGTACAGGCCCTGGTGGCTCAGTTGGTTGGAGTGTTGTGCCATATACCAAAAGGCTGTGGGTCCAATTCCCAGTCAGGACACATGCCTGGGTTGTGGGTTCGATCCCCAATTGGAGCACATACAAGAAGCAATCAGTCGATGTTTCTCTTTCACATCGGTGTTTCCCTCTCATTCTCTCTCCCTTCCCTTCCCTTTAAAAAAATAAATGAATACAATCTTTTCAAAAGAAGATAAAACTGGTGAATTTCTTCTCAGGTGAAGATTTTTTAGAAAGTACAGTACAGTACATAATACTTGATAATGATAATAAACGGCTATGGTACTGGTTTATGTATTTACTATACTATACTATTATTTTAGAGTGTACTTTTTCTAATTATAAAAAACCAACTGTCCTGTAAACCGTGCTGAGTTATGCAGACAGCAGCCTCCTACATCTCGTGTTCACCTTGTCTCGATTGCATCATCTTCGTTTGTGCTTGATTTAATCTCATGTTGCTTCATACAGTAACATGCTGTTCCAGCCTGTGGCCCAGCTGCAGCAGGCTACACCATACAGCCCAGGCACAGAGTAGCCTAGATCACCCAGGTGTGTGCTCTGTGATGTTTGCACAATGACGAAATCGCCTAACATCACATTCCTCAGAACGTACCCCCATGGTTAAGCGGTACAGAGAAAATGAGTTCTCAGGAATCCACTTGAGGTTCATTCCATTGGAATAGAAACCAAACAATTTATGAGTTTATCATTTTTTATGTAAGATGATGGATACATGGGAGATGTTTTTCCCTTAATTTCTACTTTTGTAGCATTTGACATTTTTCAAAAAATTTTAACATAAACAGTAGACTCAGTTCACGGTTCCCATCTCAATGCTTAAAACATTAAACATCACAAATATAAATGAGTCCCTCTGAGCATGATTTTCTGATTCTTTTCACTCTCAATGCACATAGAGATAGTCACTATCCAGAATTTAGTGATTTTTATCCTCTTCCTTTAGCTGGTCTGTATTATTAAAATAATCACCTCAGACACATAAAGAAAATAATGACATTCTTTATGCTTTTTAAAAAATTCAATTTCTTAAAACTAAAAACAGAAAAGCCAATTTACCCATTTCTGTTTATTAAGAACAATTTCAAACGGACACCAAAGTTGAGAGCAGAAAATAACGAGGATCCCCATGCACTCAGCTTCATCAATTTTTAACTCAGGGTTGATCTCCTTCATCTACACCCCAGACACTTTTCCTCCCATGAGCCAATTATTATTATTATTATTTTTTTAATCCTCATCCAAGGATATGTTTTTATTGATTTGAAAAAGAGAAACATTGATGTGAGAGAAACATCGATCCGTTACCTCCCCAACATGTCCCGATCGGGGACCGAATCCACAACCTAGGCTTGTGCGCTGACCAGGAATCGAACTGCCGACTTTTCACCTTGTGGGACGGTGCCCAGCCAGCTGAGCCACACTGGCCAGGGTTAGTCAATGTAAATTTAAATAGTTCCATGAGGTTGGTGGTGATTGTATTGGACAGCAGTGACAACGACAGAGATGTCGCTTTCTGATTTGTCAAAAACTATACAGAAGAGATAGATGCTTATGCGTTGCCAAAAATCTTTAAGGAGCAGTTTAAGAAATAAAGAACTGGGCCCTCACTGGTGTGGCTCAGTGGCTTGAGTGCCGGCCTGTGAACCCAGGGGTGACCAGCTTGATTCCCAGTCGGGCACACGCCTGGGTTGCAGGCGGGTCCCCAGTGGGGGGTGTGTGGGAGGCAACCGGTAGATGTCTCTCTCACACATTGATGTTTTTCTCCCTCTCTTTCTCCCTCCCTTTCCCTCTCTCTAGAAGTAAATAAATAAAATCTGTAAAAAAAAAAAAAGAAATGAGGAGGTGGGGGTA